AACGCGCGGGTGCTGGTGGGTCCCAGGCCGGCATCCAGGTACGGCAACCCCGTCACCTGCCGAGGGACCGCGCAGGGGATGGCGATGGGGGGGCAAAGCCACAGGTTTGGCACCCGACACCCCCAGACTCCCCGATAAGGGTCACCCAGGGGATCTTCTCCAACCTCCCAGCCCCAGGGGAAGACACAGCCCCACCAGCCCTCCCAGTCCTCCCCCCGGCAACCGGCCCCAGTGGGGACAGCCCAGAGCCAGGGTGACCTGGGAAGAGCAGGTTTCGGGTGGAGTGGCACCTTGAGGAAGGACTCCATCGACTTCGAGGCCAGGGAGTTGCTCCGGAACAAAGTGTTGGGCTCGCCTGCAAAACAGGAGAGGGTCCGTGGCCTGGGGGACGGCCACAGCTCACCCACCGGGCAGCTGCAATCATGGGGGGCATTTACAGGGGCTGTGCCCTCCACCCCTGGCCATTTCCATGGGAGTTACGGGGATTTCCTAACCCCAAACCACCTGCTCCTCCACCAGCCTCAGCCAACCTCAGCCCGTGAGTTGCTCGGGATGAACCCGACAGGCTCCCACCCGGAGCACAGCGTGATGGCTGAACCTCAACCGTCACCCCCCAAAAAAAAAAAATCACCGCGCAAGGTCCCGGAGGTTTTGCAGCCCCAGGAGGTGGTTGGAAGCCTCCGGCTCCGCTCCCCGCACCAGCCTTACAGGGCTTGGCCAGCTCCAGCTCGAAGAGCAGGTCCAGGAACTCCTTGACCAGCCCTTGGCCCAGGAAGAGTTTGACCAAGTTGATGGCGACCTCCTGCCGGCACTCGGCCGTGGTGGTTTCATCCAGGAGCGTGACCAGGTGCACTTGGCCATCCTGGGGGGGAGAGGCACCACGACGTGATGGCCCGAGGGAGACGCGTGCCCCGGCAGACGGCGGGAGGAAGGTGGGTGCCCCGGGAGGGCTTTGCATGGGCCCCTCACCTGGCGCCCCGACTTAACCTCCTGGCACAGGAGCTGGACCAGGGGCTGGTAGCAGTGGGAGGGCAGCACCGTCTCGTCCCGCAGCCTCACCCGCAGCGGCAGCGGGC